GGCAAACTATTTAAATTACTTTTATTGTCTTTACCCACTACTGTATTACCAGGTCCTACGAATTGGTTTGTGGTAGTGTAATACCGCCATTTTTATAATTTGTTCGTCTACTTTTTTCAAAGTCATCCCGTATTTGATCAAAATAATCAGTAGAAACATACGTCCCTGCTAGTTCCATGACTGTGGTATACTAAATAAATAATAAAAATCATACAGTGTGATAATAAAATGATAATAAAGCAGTACAGTGTGATAAGAAAATGATAATAAAGCAATGTGATAAGTGTTATCACTGCTGCAAAAACACGAGCTGGATGCTTGCTCAAATATTATAAAATAATATTTCAACTCCAACATCAACAATTACAAACTGACCTTGGTAACTAACCGTAGTCGCTTAGCTATCCAGAGAGGTTAAGTCCAAGTATTATGTAAACTTCATACCCATATTAGGTATAGGAAGTTTGACAATAGGAATTCCCAAACTCGACGCATTTACAATACCAAAATATAATCAAATACATGATTTATTAAAATTAGATAATGAACATGAATTATCACGTTCGTTAAGCGATGTTCAAGTAATGATAGACAAAGAATTGGATAGGCAGAGCGGAAATGCATATCAAACTAAGTATAATATGACCTATGCATTATTAGGGTTAGTTCTATTTTTATTAATTCTAACTTTGTTATAATTTGAAATGTATCGATATACAAATATCTTAAAAGTGACCCGTTCTAACAGAATGAGACGAATATTAGAACCCGTTAGCCAAACCAAATTTTATACACAACAGGTTTACGAACCAATGATGAGAATTAATCCACAGTCATATGACCTGCAGGGACCAGTAGTGCTATGCAATTCGAACGAGAATAGTGTAGTAAACCGACGTTTTTGCACAAAGACGGCGTTCCAAAGACTAGGTAGCCAGAACAACATCACACCACTAAAACAGGCCACTGAGGCTGCCGCCTCATTGGATAATACTGATCAACAGCACATCAAGCCATTCTCATGACGTCAATCATCCTTTCCTAAATCCCGGGCATGTCTCATATAAATAGGGGCAATGTTTCACAGACATTTTAGACATAGAAATAGTTACCAGTGCTTTACAATACTTGTGTGGGTCGCGGACTAGAAACAGCCGCATCGCCGTCCACATTAAGTACAAATTAAATTACAACTATTCTCCGGTAGAATTATTATTCTGTCGACAAATTTTAAATTACTAAAATTAACTATATTATTAGTTTCGTGTTAATAAACATTATATCTATAATTAACTACATTTTGTGTTAAACTATTCATACTCTACCTTCACTTCAACCACCATCCTCCGATTCATTGCGACGACGTGTACGTGCATTCGTCGTTAAAGAAGTGTGCAGTAACCAATCAAGTGAGAGCGACGGGTTACTACATAAAATTTGGTGTCAGGTGTGGGGTTTCACTTCATCAAACGAAAACTTTTCGAGTACATCGAAAAAAGTACTTTGAGACCCACCGACAAAACCACGTTCACAACGTCAAGGAGACGGAGGACCAAAGAGCATTCAAAACAAGGTCAGTCCAGTGAGGGCAGCAAGAGCATTCAAACAAGGTCAGTCCAGCGAGGGCAACAAGAGCATTCAAAAACAAGGTCAGTCCAGTGAGGACAACAAGAGCATTCCAAACCAAGTCAGTTCAGTGAGGGCAGTAAGAGCATTCAATCAAGGGCAAGCAAGGTCAGTCCAGGAAGGACGTTTTCAAAAAAATCAATTTTTCACTGGCAATTGGGACTACAGGATGCAAAATTTGTAAGTCATTTGAATAAAATATTGTATGTCTGTAGATAGGTCTAATTGGCAAATTGTTGCATATAATCCCGTTACACTAAGAATTGAAATATTTAATCCAGATCAACTAAGTTTAGAAGGGGCAATCAAGTTAGTACCTTAATTTCGGGAGGATCAGAATCAGAGTTAGCTTCCTTTTTGTCTAAATGCGAATTCATTTTTTCGAGTATCCCTGATACTTTAAAACCAATTATTTTAGAAGCTATAATAATCCAGTTAAAAGGTAATGCATTCGAGACCGTTAGGTATAAGGAAATTACCACCTGGGATGAATTAAAGAATTTATTTAAAACCGTTTTTGGTTCAGCACATTCAGTGTCGTACTTACAGATACAATTAAGTCAAATGCGTCAAAATTCGAAAGAATCGATTAAAGAGTTCTCGATTAGAATTGAAAAACTGCACACGAATTAACACACGCGTTAACGGTACATAAATACCAAGCGCAAGTCAATATTATAGCTCAAACAGTGCGAGCACATGCACTAAGCGTATTCATAGCGGGAGTCTCACAGTCTATCGGAAATATATTAAAAGCGCGCAATATTCAGGTATTCGAAGTAACAGTTTTACAAGCGATGGAGGAGGAAAAATCCAACGAATATTATAATAACGCGTTCGGAAATAATAAATTTCAGAATAATAAAAATAAATTAATCAATTCTCGACCATCAGGCTAGAAGGGTTAACAACGTTTACCTGCTACGAACGCATACGCACGATGTTCCTTTACATATTCCAAAACACTGATATAGCAGTAACTAATTATAAGGAACAATACATGTTAAAAAAAAAAAAAATTATAAAAATTATTTTTTACCGATGACGAAAAAAAATCAAATTATTAAAGAATATCACGATACATTAGTAGGTGGTCACCAAGGAATATAAAAAATCGTAAAATCGTAAATTTGTCTGATCAAAAAATATGTAAAACTATGAACTTTATTCAGTCAAAAAACCATTTTGTTTATTCTAAATCTGTAAATAAAGTTGCTCTTAGTGCTAACGATGATAAAAGAATTATTATGCATGACGGTATTAATAATATTGCGTATGGACACTATCTTTTAAAAAAATAGTACTTGTCTTTTATTTTTTAATTGAATAAAAGTGAATATGTAAAAAAAATTACTACTATGTAAATTAAATATAGATAATGAAATAAAAAAACGCAAATAATATAACAAAACATTAATTCATTTTTATTATTATTTCAAAATTCATATTCAAACAATTAACTATTCAGCATAAGCTGTATAACATTTTTTTTTTTTTTTTTTTAGAATACACAGACCTATCATTTCTGAAAGACCTAATATTCGATCCAAACCTAAAATGCCAAATCTGATGGAAATCGATATTGAAAAACTCAGGGTCAAACTGTATTTCGATTTAGATAGAGGTTGCTGCATTTTAAAATGTGATAACTGCAGTAATGTAGAATTGTATAAGGAATAGAAAATTGCTAGAGGCTTAGTGGTTAAACGTCTATCAGATTTAATACAATTATAAAGTATATACAGTATTAAAAATGTTTACCATTTAACTAAAAATTAAATTAATTAATTTAATCAATACCGTACATTGTAATGATGATATAGTTTATAAAATATGAACAATATGTATTGATTGGTACATTTCGTTTAATTACAAATTCACTTATTAACTATTTTAAAGTGTCGTTTACTTTTATACACAAATTATGACTATTGTCAAAACCAAGCCATTTTACATATAATTTGTTTTTATGTTTTTTTATAACACGTTCAATGAGAAAGGTATCGGGAAAAAATGTTTTTTTTTTTATTTCTTGTACATAAAAATGTCCTAATATTAAATTATTTAAACTATCTTTTAGTTGATATGTTATCGGATCTGTATTTAAAACTTTAGAAATAGTGAAAACTTTTGTTGTCCAATTTGGTGTATAACCTTTTTACTAAAATTATGTTTATACTTTGATATTCTTACTTACAACATTTCATAAGATATGTTTAGACATACTTAGTCCCCTTTCGATAACTACCGCTTATATATTAACTTTACAAGACAAATTATCACGGTACGGATAGCGTTAGCCTCGACAGACGCAGTCACGGTAGCAAAAGCTTTCGTGGAATGTTTCATATGCATATTCGGTATACCAGTTACAATCCTAACGGATTAAGGGACGAACTTCTTACAAAAGTTGTTTAAAGACGTATGTAAATTTTTAAAAATTGAAAAAATTAATACAACATCGTGGCACCCACAGGCTAATGGATATCACGAGTGATCTCACAAGACATTAAAAGCTTATCTACGAAGTTTTGTAGACAAAGACAACAATTGGGACACACTAATTAGCTACTGGATGTTTTGTTACAACACTACGGTACACACGTCGACTAGGTACACACCTTACGAGTTGGTTTTCGGGAAAAAACCGATAATTCCTTCGGCATTTATACAGGCGCCGGAGCCTCGTTGTAATTATGATGACTACGCGTCAGATTTAAAACGAGTGATGCAGGAAACACATCAAATTGCAAGAGATAATCTAATCGAGAAAAAGAATACGAATAATTAATACTACGACCAATGAACAAATCCACTCGAACTACATGTAAGAAATAAGGTATTATTAAAAGAACGTAACAAAAAAAAAAAATGCGTTATGTTTGAATTGGACAGGTCCATACAAAATAATAATGATACACGACAACGAGAATATAACAATTAAGAAGGGGAGGAAGGACTGTATGATCCACGTAAAAAATGCAAAAAAATATTTCGAGACCGATGTATGAACACTTCGGTGTCATATGTATATTTAGCTATAGGATCCTCCAATTTTCTTTATTGTTATAAGTAGTCATAAGTAATCATTATTACATAAGTTTTTTTTTTTTGTTTTAGTACTAATAAAAGATTCTTCATTATGGATTTCGAATTATCGATGCTCGATAGGACAAGCCTTGTGCTTGTTCCTGGGGCAATGTAGAACAGTTTAGACCTGTTTAGGACGATCAATATCGATAGGAAACCCTTACTTCTAACACTAGCCAGACAGGTCAAAACAATGAGCGAGCTAGACGTAATTAGAGCGATCCGAGAAATGTGTAGAAATTTTAAAGGAAAAGAAGAACGTTTATCTCCAATTTTAAGCAAAAATGAGGGATAGTATAAATTCAAAAAGAAATAATTTAAATGTGCAGAGTATCAAAAAATATTTAGATAAAGGGAACAAACAACCCGTACTTGTATTCTTTGGTGGTAGTACAGATAAAGAAATCGTGGTACGTCTGGGTTTAGGAAACTATACTATGCTGGAGCTAACGTCTTACGATTTATGTGACAACCTCGTATTTTATTTGCAATTGAAAATAATGAGTACTAAAAAAATTATAGCCCAAGAGGAGATTGGGTACGCCGACAAAAGCGGCCGTCAATTAAATTTAAGCGAGACGCAAAAATTAGTATGCAATCAGGTTCACCCTATAACATACGAGCAATGACCCATCTTAACTACATGTTTATTTGATAGATTAACACGAGCGTGCAGGCAAAATCATAGTAACGTAACCGTTTATATTAAAAAAAAAAAAAATTAATTAATAAAAAAAATAATAGAATTTTCATATCTTCTTACTTATTAATAGAGGAATATCAAGAAGGATGGTAAAAGATTTGTCAAAGATAAGCCCGCCATTTCTGGTGAATGGATATTATTTTTAGTAAAAGCTAAGCGGTGTTTTGTACTTCTGAAGGAGAAAAAATCCGAGGGTAGACCCAACGGAAAATTAATAATACAAAGTTTTTATTTTAAATTAATGTTATTGGGAAAAATATATAGGAATAATTACGTAGATAAGAATTTAATTATGAAGTTTTTATTTTTAAAAAAAATAAGGAACAAATCCTATAATCCGTACATTTTTCAGTATGTTCCATTTACGGCATCCAAAAATATACTGATGAAAAGTTAATTACGCAAGACGGTCTATATTTCGAAAATCAAGGTCCGCTGAAAATAATGACGACGCAATGGAACATAGTAGCTTTCTATGATATATCACATTTTTACGAAAGGAAAAATGTAATAAACGCATATTTGGGTGCAACTAATAAGTTGTGTATATTTTTAAAAGAGAGGAATATTACCCAAACTAATTGCCAAATTATCTTCTCATTAACTAGATACGCCGCGTATCTCGCAAACGAGAAAACAATGTAATATACGAATCTATAGGTCATTCACATATTAAGAAAAGGAGTTTTCCGTTTAAAGTAATAACCAAGGTAGCCCAGATTCTGTTTGAGTTATGTGATCAATTCTGCGTTTTTATCACAAAGCTAATGTAAACATAATGATAGATGCAAATACCTCAGAAATAAACGACTTATGCAAACAACTAAGGGTTATCAAACTTCAGGACGAACATGATAAGGGACCCGACGTTTTAATTGATTTGGGCGATGCAATCCAATAGATGACGAATATGACAAACAAACTTAACATGAAAACCTGTCTAGCGTATCATTTTTTTCAGACAAGTCTCGTCTTGCAATTGTATTTATCTGAGACCACTATGTTGGGCGACGTCATACAATCCACTAAAGTAGGATTATTGCATCCTAGTTTAATGACCGGACCAGAATTACTTAAACAATTCATGGTCATTAAAATAGGGTTACCTAGTGGGACAGACTTACCCATGGAACTTAACCTAAATAATGTAGAAGAAATTATGCCCCTCTCAGTCATTACAATATATTATTATCCACAAATTCGTAATCGTAGATTTCGAGTTCACCAACATTCACAAGACAAATTATGTACTGATATCAGGTGCCATTTCAAATAGTCTAGACCGCTTTAAAATAAGAAAACTAGAAGGAAGACCGTTATTACTACCGGAAAACCAAGAAGTAAGACCAATGAAGGACAAGGAAATAATAGTGGCGCGAACAGCTTTGGCACGAATTTTGAAGGTAAAAACGGAGATGAGAGACATCTGCTTAGATCAACTCAATCGAAGTTTGATGGCACCAGTAAATAGTCTGAATGTAACGTACATAAGGAACTATATACTGTGTGACAACAAAATTAACATAATAGTAGCATGGGGCGGGAGTTCGGACAAAATCATATTACAAAGATTAGAACAGAATTTCCATTAATAAATTTACGTTGTATTTTATACCCATATAATGTTGAATATGACTGCATAAGATACTGATAATAACAAAATATCTCCAATCATTACTTTTGATCATCTAGGCACGGAGGAAATCGTACAGGTGAAACGACTGTGGTTTGCATTTGGGATGATGAAAACGACGTTTTTGATTTGTATGGAACACAGAAAACATGCATATTGTGCATGTTTAGCATAGCGTCGATCGTATAATTGTGTGTACGTACAGCAGATACATTTGAAAACTGTGATGAAGTAAGAGAAAATAAAACTATTAGATGAAAATGTAGAAGACCAACGCATATTCTGAATGTATTCAATCAATACAAAAATTTAATTAATTCTAAATTATTTGAATGTGATAATTATGATATACAATCTGATTATTTGTTTGGATCAATAAAGAAAAATAAAATGAAATACATTTCATAAATATTGGATGACAATCACAAAGGATTAAGACAAGATACAACGTAGGATGAAGATGGTAAACCTTAGTACAGATTCATTGTAAAAATACATTATTTTTTGTTGATAATAAAACATTTAAAAAAAATAAAACGAAATTAATAATCAAATTATTTTATAAAAAATTATCAAAACAAAACTTTATTTTACGCTTGTGATGTTTTTATAAATGGTCATATTTAATTAAAACTCTTCAATACGATATTTTTTCATAAAACATAAAAAATAATGTATGATATAATATTTTTAAAAGAAATATAATTTTTTTTTAATTTTTTTTAATAATGTTTACTACAATATATTAACATTGTAGCATAAAAAAATAAATGTTTTTTTTTCAATATTTTTCTGGTAGTTACTTATATTTATAGATAGGTATTTACATATTTACCACATACCCAATTAATAACAATAATAGCTTAAGTTACATAACACTCATTTGATTCCTAAATTATTTTGAAATACAGAATAAAGATAAAATTAATTATACACACTATATAACAAATACTTTTTTAAATATTCTTAACACAATGCATTACAACTTGTTCACTGTTAATATACCGTGTTTCCTATAACTCTGTTATATTTGGGCATATAATATACCAGTTGTGCATAAAATACAAACATGCTTTTACCACATAGGTAAGGAATTTAGCTAACCTTTACAACCAAAAATGTATGTTTCAGATTTGGGTTGTAATTTAACTTATTTATTCAAATATACATTTATGAGCTTGCAGATTGTTACACCACGCCAGGGGCTCATACATATGCATTCATTGAATAATACATCAAATCATAGCTAACTTGACCATATATATCATCAGTTGAATTTTCAACTTACAAATATTATACACAATAATGTTAACACGTATAAAACATTTTTTTTTTTTTAGTTTGAAACATTGTATATCAATGTTAATGCATATGTGGTAGATAACAAAAATAGCTATTATATAAGTATACACAATTAATAGTTTAGTTATAATGTATCTCATAATAAAATAAGGATTCAAATATTTTGTTTTATGAAAAATATTTTAATTGTAGCTTATGTAAAAACCAGATAAAATTTTTAATTTATAATTCATAACCAAATTATATCATTAATTCATTATTTTCAATTAAATATATATGTTACTATTATACTGTAAATTTACCTATGAACAAATAATCATCAGCAAGCATAAAATTATTTTTACTTGATATAATAATTGAAACTATTCTTAATATAGATATTTTCATGACAAAAAAATGAAAATTGTATTTGTAATAATGAATTTAAATTATCACACCAATTGTAGAAGTTTAAAGGTGACCAGTCATTACAACAACAGGTAACCTTTGTAGTATATTACAACAACAAAATAATGTATTATGGAACATATGACAATGTAGTAGGTTGACCATCCATATAACTACACTGTAAAACATGTTGTTAAATTTCAACTAACGTCATTATGTAAATTTACCCATGATATGTAAGTACAATGCAACTACTTCTAAATAAGTGTAGACCTTATTTATCATCACTGGAATATGAACCAAATTTAAGAAAACGTTTAAATGATTTAGGGGTGGAATGTGTAGATGACTTAAAATTATTAAATTTTGAAGCTGATCTACAAGGTATAATGAAAGTAATACAGTGTCGTAAATTAAAACTAGAACTGTCAAAAGGTGTATTAAAATGTAATACTCTAAGTAAAAATATTCATAATTGATTTAATAAGTTATTTAAAATTGCAGATGTTACAATACATTGTATTTCAAATAACAATTCCCAAATGCACTGAAAAATAAACAATTTGAGGACAATGCAGAATACATATCAAAACAACTTTTGCATCATATATATTATTTAAAAAGAAAGGAACGACACGAGTTAAGACAGAGGGGCTCATTACATCAACATTCTAGTGGTCCTTCAAGAATGTTCCACCAAAAAAAAAAAAATAGATTTGGGACTCATCCTGAGCGATTTGCACCAAATGATATGCCAGAAGGAGAAAACACTAGTACCTTAAACCAAAAAAGAGCCTGGTTAAAAGCAACATACATGTTGGTTGATATAGACTGGAACCGCGTCAACAGGTATTATATTATATTAATAATAATCTAGGACTCTGGTCGTATAAAAAATTAGTCTTTTTGTGATAAAACTTTTTTATTTTCGAGAGCCATTTCTGGTGTATGGATATTATTTTTAGTAAAAGCTAGGCGGTGTTTCGTACTTCTGAAGGAGAAAGAATCCGAGGGTAGACAAAACGGAAAATTAATTATACAAAGTTTTTATTTTAAAGTAATGTTATTGGGAAAAATATATAGTAATAATTACGTTGTATTTGTTGTATTTATGTTAATAATTACATTAGTAATAATGTAGAAGAAATTATGCCCCTCTCAGACATTACAATATATTATTATCCACAAATTCGTAATCGTAGATTTCGAGTTCACCAACATTCACAAGACAAATTATGTACTGATATCAGGTGCCATTTCAAATAGTCTAGACCGCTTTAAAATAAGAAAACTAGAAGGAAGACCGTTATTACTACCGGAAAACCAAGAAGTAAGACCAATGAAGGACAAGGAAATAATAGTGAAAAGCAGGGGCGTACCCAAGGGAGGGGTTTTCGGGTCGGGACCCCGCCATTGAGATATCTACATTTACATTTACAAATTATAGTACCTACCTATTATTATAAACCTTTCTGTATATTTACTGTGAGTGTGTATATAACTATTGACTATTGTAAATATATTATAGTTATTAACAGTAATATTTTGGTAATGAATTAAACTATAATTATAATTAGAGAACAGATAAAATAAAAATTTTGGAC